CTTTTGTGAAAGGAAGAGTGAATCAATGCAGCAAACTTCATTGTTGTCTTATTTGAAGAAATTGCTATGGCCACCCCAAACTTCAGCAATCACCACCCTGATCAATCAGCAACCATTAACACTGAGGTGAGACTCTTCACCTGCAAAAAGACTGTGACTCACTGAAGAGTCAGGTGATTGTTAGCACTTCTTAGCACTGAAATATTTTTAAATTTAGGTAAGTGTATGGTTTTTTAGATATAATGCTATTGCACACGTAATAGACTACAGTATATTTTAAATGTCATTTTTATGTACACTGGGAAATCAAAAAATATGTGTGGGCCACTTTATTTTGATGGTCTGGAACTGAATCCATAATATCTCTGTGGCATGCCGACATAGCTACTCCAACTTTCTGTTGAATAATGTTAGCATGATATATAGTTCTCTTTTGCTTTATTTTTAACTTTTCTATGTTTTTTTATTTATTTTTTTTTTTTTTTAGACGACATCTCGTTTTGTTGCCAGGCTGGAGTGCAGTGGCACAATCTCAGCTCACTGCAACCTCTACCTCCTAAGTTCCAGTGATTCTCCTGCCTTAGCCTCCTTGGAAGCTGGGAATATAGGCGCCCACCACCACGCCTGGGTAATTTTTGTATTTTTAGTAGAGATGGTGTTTCACCATGTTGGCAAACATGGTCTTGACCTCCTGACCTTGTGATCCAACTGCCTTGGCTTCACAAAGCACTGGGATTACAGGTGTGAGCTGCTGCACGTGACCACTCTATGTCTTTTAATTGGTGCATTTATACCACCTACATTTAAGATAATTGTTTACATATTTATATTAATATTAATATCTATTATGTTTGTAACTGTTTTCTGTTCATTGCAATTGTTCTCTGTTTCTCTCTTTTTTTTTTTTGCTTCTTTTTCTGACTTCCATGGCTTTAATTACATACATTATTCTATTTTCTATCCTCCTACCATATAAACTATACATCTTTTAAAATAATATTCAGCAGTTTCCCTAAAGTTTGCAGTATCCATTTATAATGAATCTAATTCCATCCTCATAACACTAGACCACTTCATAGGAATCACATGTACCTTACATATATATATATATTCATTTTTACTTTCCATAAGCTATAATCACCTAATATGTTGCTACTATTATTACTTTGAGTAATACTGCTTGAGTTAGCCAATTAACTTTTTTGCTACTGCGTATGTCATTGCTGTCCCTAGCAATCTTCATGCTCCCCAAACAGTCAAGGATTAGTGAGTATCAACTTCAGAGGCCAGGAGTCAATGTTTATCCAAAAGAACAACAGAATTAATTTTTCATCCCTGCATTTCCCACCACTTTGGAATACTTGTCAAAGTTACCCACTTGTATAACAATGCAACACCCATAGCCAGGATGCTTGTGCTTTATTAAGTGTCCTTCCATATCAATATTCAAAGGCACTGATACTTTTGACAAGGGGGCTGACTGTTTTCTTAAGGAGCAGCTGTAACCTACTCTTAGTGCAAACCATCATCTATTGAGGGTGGACTGGAGAGCCTTGGAATGAGAGATGGATAGCCTTCTATGAGACAGGCCACTGGATTTCCCTGCTGCTTTTCCCAGTACTGCTTAAGTTTCTACTGTGAGTTATTGGGTAAAGATAAGGTGACAATCACTGGACAAACACAAAAGCTGAAAACCACTACTTAAGAAAGCAAAGCCGTAGAAGAAGGTGGTTTTGTTCTGATAACCATTAGTTGGAGTGCCTCACAGTCTCGCTGTGCCACTGTACTACAATGGCTCTGTTATAACAACAACGACAAAACCTAACTGTCAAGGTTATAGTAGAAAACACCTTTAGTACTCCTGTGTCACAATGAAGGAGTTAATTCAAATCTAACTTACATCTGGGATCTTTAAACCTTACACTCATTGCCATGAGGGAGGTTTCTAGCCCGGATGATACTGATTTGATGTTCTCTGGAGGAAGACATTTATAAATACAGATGAAGAGACACAGGACAAAGAGAACACCTGTGAAGTATGTTAAATGGCTTAATTTGAAAAAGGATAAAACATATCTTGGATAGAGGGAGAGGGAATTAAAAGCACATACACACACACAGGTATATGTCATGAACCTTTGTTTCATTTTAATTATATATTTAACTATATAACATTAACAAACATTTAAATAATTATATGTGTTTAATTATTATGCAGTTAAATTGAAACAAAGGTCTATAATATGACCCAAATGGGAATCCAAAATGTATTAAAATAATTTATATATTAATAACAAAAAGGGTGCTGATTGTTTTCTTTGCCTCTACAGCATAGATTCTGGATTAACTTGAACATTTGCTAAAATGTTCCAATTGGCAAAGCTTCATGGATTTAATCAATACTAAGGATCAAATTACAGTTACATATTGGATCCTGCTAAGTGTAAGCATGGTACCCCTGTAATCATGGGAAAGTAACTAAATATAAAATAGAGGAAAACAGGTATGCTTTATTTTAACTATATAGCTTTTCCTAAGTTTATCATAGCCATAGTACTTACGGCTCTAATATATCCCATAGGAGGCACAGACACTGTGAAACAGTGTGTAATAAATTAAAATTAAATCTTTCACACAAACAAACTGGTTTGACAAAGTGGGACCTCATAGATCCTCAGTTAAAATAGTTAATATGGCCCCAAAGAAGTTGAATCTTGACCTTTGAAGATGATAACTTCATCAATGTAAGAACTAAGTAATGAATGCATTTCCCACTGCTTTTTTATTTGACAGTCCAATTAGGCCTCTGCTTAAACCTGGAAGGAATGAATGGCACCTCACAGTGATTACTGTAACCTAAATGCTGTGGTTCTATCCATTAAGGCCTCCAGACCCAATAACCAATTGCTAACTTCATCCATTCAATAAAATTTCTAACTTCTTCCAATCAGCAATTGGTACATTTCTTGTCATTATAGGTTTGGCTAATATGTTTTATACAGTGCCTATTTCATCAGCCTCTCAGCAGCAGTTTGCCTTCACCTTAGAAGGAACATATTTTCACAGGGCTACCCAGGGGGTGTCTCAACAGCTTTTCATCACACACAGTCTTTGCAGACAAGAACTTTCATGCATCATCTTTTCCAGAAGCATAGGTAGGGTGCTGCATTGATGGCATCCTCCTCTGAAGAGATTCATTTGACACACTTATTAAGGACGTGCGAGTCCAATATCTTAGTCCTTTTTGGATTTGGGAGGCAACAGTTTCCTCATTCACAAATTTTGTTTAATCTCACTAATGCTGCTACTAACAAATCAGTCTACCTTAAATGGATTGCTGTTTCTGGCTCAACAAAATGTTCTAGAATCTGTCCAAATTAAAACCAGGAGGTGCTCTGTTAGTGTTCTCTGAAACTCCTTCAATTTAGAAGCTTTAGGAATCTCCCAGAGTCTCTGGACAACCTATGATAGCCTTCCATTGCCTGCGGGCTTCTGGCACAAGAAACTGTTTTTGGTTCTGTGCTATACACCATTAGAGCAGCAACTGCTGACCATATGCTGTTCTTTTTTTGAAAATAAAGCCTGTCACAGAACCCAAGTCTGTGACCCTCTGTACCCACCTACCGATTATGTCTTGAATTATGGAAGCAACACACTGTAAGTTCACTCTTACATTTTCAATCCTAAAGGAAAATCTTGTAGAAGGCATTATTCATGCTATCTGTGCCATCCTAAAAGTAATACGGACTATTGCTTTCCTCAGGAGGCAACTGCTTCATATTAACTCATTTCTTGATTCCCTTGGGAGTATCTCTCACTCTCCCATGCATTCTTTTATTTCACCCCTCCAGCCTTCCACCATGACCTCTCACCCCAGATTTTTTACCATGACCACCACAATTATTTGGCTGCAATCACATACCACTAACCTTTACATATACCTTACTGAACCATCATTTCCTACTCCCTATCTTCACCTAGTTTTGAGGTTCTGGCTAGAGGTTGATAGGTTCTACTTCTTAAGCAACTGATTAAGTTCACACCCTAATCACTTCTCTTACCAGACTCTTACACTCTAGGTCCACTAAGTACCTGACTTAATTGTTCCTGGGGTCATAACTAAGGAAAGCCTTTAACCCTGGAAGTATTCAGATTATTCAAAATTATCAAAATTCAAATTCTGAATAATTCAAAATTATTCAAACTAGCCAGTTGATATGGTTTGGCTGTCTCCCCACCCAAATCTCAACATGAATTGTAGTCCCCATAATCCCCACATGGCATGTCATGGGAGGGGACCCAGTGGGTGGTAATTGAATCATGGGGTGGTTGCTCCATTTTTGTTCTTCTGATAGTGAATGAATTTTCATGAGCTCTAATGTTTTATAAGGAGCTTTCCCCCCTTTGCTCAACACTTCACCTTCCTTCCACCTTGTAAAGAATGTGTTTGCTTCCCTTTTGCCATGATTGTGTTTCCTGTGGCCTCCCAGCCTTGTGGAGCTATGACTCAATTAAACCTCTTTCCTTTATAAACTACCCAATCTCAGGCAGTTCTTTATAGCAGCATGAGAATGGATTAATACACCAACCAATAGGGAGCTTGAGAAACCTAGCTTGCCCTATTCCAACTCCCATGCATGAACTACTCTCCATGCAATTACTGCTTGCTGTTGCCTTTCCCTGGAAGCAACATTCTGTTTGTTCTTGCCTGTCAACCTTCTCCCATTTGGATCATAACTAACAAAGAGTTCTGCCTTTTATCTCTCTGTCATTGAGTTGTATCTTGTCAAAAGAACCTTTAAATATTAGAAAACAACTTGCAAGCTTTCAAGCCAACTCCAAGATGTGTCACATTATATCTGCACACCCATACCCAACACCAAATTTTAATTCTCTTTATTGGACTCCACATTCACTTTTTTTTGCTGGTACCAATAGAGACGCAAAAGGGCTTTCAGAAAATTTAGCAGCAAAGTGGACTATAGTCCACTCAGGAGGTATATGATTACAAAAGTTCTGACTTTCCACCCATGGTAAGCAGAGACCCTCAGCTCTGGCAGTCAATTTTAACCACCAGGAAAAATTTTACTAAGTATTATACTTAGGTCTTTAACCTGGAGATTCTGATTAGATCCAGGTGCCAGTGTTCGTTAAGGCTCCTAAGTGTTTCAAATATGATGACAAATAGATAAATCATTATTGAGTTAGAAGCTAACCCTAGAAGCAGGGATGCAAGTATAGGTGTATGCTAGACTAAATTAAAGCAACATAACAACCAGTAAAAAAAAAAAAAATAGATAATAAACTTTGAGCAATAATTGATGGCCTCTGTGTGGCAGAAATGGTTGGCTGTCAAATGACAATTTCATTATCTGTCTGTCATGTAGTGTTATTGCTTCATGTTGTCTACCTGTGCAGAGATTACGTTTCTCAATAATCTTTGCATCTATGCAGGACCTGTGTCTTGTTTTTGCAGAGGAAAGCTAAGAAAAATGATGTGTGACACTTTTAGGCCAATGTAGTTAAGAAGAAAGATGTATCTCCTTCAAACATTCTTTTCGTGTTTTGCCCAGATGTCAATGTGCAGGATAACCCTGGCTCATGTATTAAATATGACATTATCTGTTATCCTGAGTACATATCAAAAGTCCCTCCTTCTCACTTATGATGCCTACAAATGCATTGTTACACACACAAGAAATATAGTTACATTAAATCAAGCCACTGATATTTCAGATGTTTATTAACATTATTCCAATTAATAAAAAAATTAATACAGTTCTGCCATAACATATCTAAATTCTGTGGTTATGACTTAGCAGTTGAATGATAGTCAACAAAGAAGAAATAAAACAAGGTAGAAGGCACAAAAACTCTGTGCTGCTGTAAGGCAACCGTTGCCTCTGTGGCAACTTTGGTGGCAATCATGTGCTCAACAAACTTAAAGATGGAGGAAATTCGTGAAGAACCAGAATATGAGAGCCTTTGTTGGTTAATATTGGCTGCCTTTAGCAAGATATTATAAGAATATATGAGTTCTGGTATGAATTGTTTGGTTTCCAAACAAAGATTGTAAGGAGTGGATAAAGTTCAGAGATCAAGAAGGCTTACAGGATTAGAGTTGATTCCTGCTTCTGGACTTTAAGGACTATGAGTAGCAGAGGCCCAGTAAAACTTCTCAGTTAACAGGTTAGATACAAACCAGTTGTAATGGTCAAATTACTAGCAATATCTTCCCATCTAAGGAGGTGGCTTTCACTAGGTTGACATAGAAAGAGATAAGAAGAGGAAACAAAACATTTGCTTGGAAGTGAAAATATTTAATCAAATCAATCATTTGGCATAAATAAATCAAATTATGAAACTAAATATACTGGTTTGACATAATGAAAATGTACAATTATAGGTAAAATGGTCTGATTTTCATAGAATTAATTTGCAAGCTTAATATGGTAGATTTTAATAAAACAAGTATTTCTATATGTAGTTGAACAGATTAAGTGATGTTTGAAAGAGTGTATCTTTTTCTGGATAACCTTGTTTATGTATCAATGTACATAGAGCTCAAATAATGAGTATACTTTTATTGTTCTCTATTTCTTTAAAAGATAATGGCAAGTGTAATCTATACCTATGATGGAAAAAATCCTAAGATGTAAAGGTTGTGGCAAGAAATAACATACATTACTGTTTTTTTTTTTTAACTGAGTATTTTATATCTGAAAGGTATGGTAGCCAAGGAATATAAAAAAAGGTATCTGTAGATTTTTGTGAACCATCTATTTTTGTATAGAGTTTTGTAACTTGTAAAGTAGTTTTATAATCTTATTTGCTATTCCAATTGATCATATGATATTGAGTGGATAGGAATGATATAAGATGACTCAAAGGCGTGGTAGCCAAAGAATGTGAGAAAAGTATCTGCAGATTTTTGTGAATCATCTATTTTTGTGCAGAGCATTGTAATTTGTAAAGTACTTTTATAATCTTATTTGCTATTCAAATTGATCACTGATATAGTTTGGCTGCATCCGCATTAAAATCTCAACTTGAATTTCATTTCCCAGAATTCCCATGTGTTGTGGGAGGGACCTAGAGGGAGGTAATTGAATCATGGAGGCCCATCTTTCCCATGCTATTCTCCCAGTGTGAATAAGTCTCACAAGAACGGATGGGTTTATCAGGGGTTTTCTCTTTCTTCCTCTCATTTTCTCTTGCTGCTGCCACGTAAGAAGTGCCTTTTGCCTCTGACCATGATTCGAGGCATCCCCAGCCATGTTGAACTGTAAATCCAATTAAATCTCTTTTTCTTCCCAGCTTGGGTATATCTTTATCAGCAGCATGAAAATGGACTAATACGATCATGTGACATAAGATACGAGTGACATAAGATGACAATAACTTCAGGCTAGGATTTTGTCAACCTGCCTAGGTTCTAATTTCTGCTACTCTATTCTTGTATCTCTGTGAATTCAAAAAATTATTTAACCTGTCTGAATATGCCCAATTATAAAATGAGGATACTTAATCCAACCTCAGAGGTGTTTGTGAAGATTACATGAGCTACACATGCAAAACATCTAAAGGAATGACTAACACAGAGTAAGCACTGAGAACATTTATTCTATTATCAACTACCATATTGAGGATAATTAGATTATTACTCAAATAAATTTCTTTATTAATGATTACATCGTTAATAAATGCATGCACTTGGAGTATATTCAGAAGAGTCAAACCTCTAGTTGAAGGATTCCCTTTCTTACACACAGTAAACTGCATTTTGGATGAATTAGTCTAAATATTTATTTACTGATTTTTAAAATTATTAATTTGCCTAAATTATACTACTGAAAGTAGATATAAAAGAGATTTACATACTGTATGAAGAAATATTACTGTTCTCCCCCATATGAAGAAGGAAATTAAATAATAACAATGGTAGTCTGTAATTGCTGCATAATAAAATAAAGTTTACTGTTTTGTGTTCAGTATGAAAGCTAGCCCCAGCTCTGCTTAAAATTAACCAACTCCCTGTAAAACCTACCTTATCTATTCTCCCCACATTCTCAGCAAAGTTCCCAGGCATCTCAAGACTCCTATTTTTCTTGCTGACAAGCTACAAGGTCATAGGGCAAAATAACACCCCAAAAATGTACAATGTGTTTCTCAAAATGCTATTTTTCAAGTGTAATGTGCATCACAAGATGTTACAGATTAATTAACTGTTTTTTGTTCTGGCTTCTGTAAACCTGTTAGCTGCTAAGTCATCCTGGTTGTATAAAAAATACCCCATTTTCTTTGTCCTTTGCTCAGTCTTAGAATGATAATCCACTGAGCCATTGGCCACCTTAATAAAATCCTCCTGTTTCACCATTGGCCTCTCACAATATATCTGTTTATTCTCTATTCCTGGGCATATGCAACCTTTTATTTTTTAGCATTTTTGATAACTGGCCATGTCATGAGTTCTACTTAATGGGCTGAGAGCAGAAGAGATGTGTGCCTTTTTGAGGTGGTATTTGATTATCTGAGTTTTATTTCTCTACCACATAAATTGTGGATGCTCTTGTTGAAATTGAGTGCCACAATACAGAAACAGCCTGGAATACTGAGCCGCTGTGTGGAGAACAGCTGCCCGCAAGTGTTACTAAACCCTTAGCAGACTTTTTACCAGCAAGAGAAAACCTTCAGTTGAGTTAACATAGTGAATGTGGAGGTTGTTTGCAATGTAACTCAATCAATCTGATCCAATAAACTGTATTTTCATATAGCTCTTTTGACTGGCAGATTTCAGTGTTTTTGCAGCTCAGAAAAAATTTTGCTTCATTTGCTTTCTTGGAGAAAGAATGAAATATATGTTTTGATTTGCATTGCCTCCTTTGGATAGGCGTTTCTTACCTTTCATAATTTATTTTATATTTTCTCATGCTTTTTCTTTTGGAACTGAGTATGAGACACCCGAGTAAGTCATATTCTTTATGGTGAACTGTCATTATAGATGTACACAAGATTACTCTCTTTTAGTAAGCTATCTCCCTTCTTCAACACTGATATTCACTCTAAAGTTTTTGATCTCTTTTATTGGATATGTATCTATACATATCCTCATAAAATATTTAATATTTTTGTTCATATGTGTTTTTCGTTTACATAAATGTATTGTGTCCTATTTACTATTTGTTAATTTTTCTCTCAACATGCTCTAAGAGTTTGCTGTTTCTAAAGTTTATACTATTAATTTATTTCTTCTGGGACATAGTAATACATGGTGTACATCTATCGTATATATATTCCTCTAATGATAAACACAAATTACCCATTATCATAAATACTTCACCAAGACATATTCCTATGTGTTTCCTATGGACTACTGGAAGAAATGCCCTGCTGTGTATACTTAGGAGTGGGATAGCTGGTTTATATGGGATACTTAATTAATATTTCACAAATTGTTGCCAGAATTCACTGGGTTTGTATGGAATACTTGGTTAATATGTCACTAAATTATAGGCAAAATTCTTGTCAATATGGTCATACTAGTTGATAATTCTGCCAGTAAGTCTTGAAGGTTCCAGTCCCCAAGCATCCTTACTAACTCTTGACATTACCTACTTTCCATTCACCCCTCTGATGAATGTAAACAGCATATAATTTATGTTTCATTTTGCATTTCTGTACAGAAGTTGATTATCTGTACATATACTTGTTAGCTTTTTGTTAACCATCTGTAAATTGCCATTTCATACCTTTTGTTCTCTTTTTACTTATCATTTGAAGAAGGCGTATGCTGTATAGTGATTATTTCCTATATTGTAACTATCTTCTCCGATTTAACTTTAATATGGAGGTACTCAAGCTTTTTTTTAAGTTAATTCACTCTGAATTCTAAGAGTACTTTATTTATTTTTTTAAGACAGGGTTTTGCTCTGTCAGCCAGGCTGTAGTGCAGTGTACAATCATGGCTCACCACAGCCTCCCAAGTAGCTGGGACTAAAACTGTACATCACTATGCCTGGCTGATTTTTAAATGTTTCATATGTTTCCCAAGCTAATCTCAAACCCCTGGGCTCAGGCAATCTTCCCGCCTCAGCCTTGCAAGTGCTGAAATTACAGAAAGGAGCCTGGCTTCCGGTATAAGAGTACTTTTGATTTTTCTCTTTTAACATTCCTTGTATGATTTTTACAATATTTACTCTGCTATTTTCATTGTGGCTTATAATTTTGTCAGTTAAGTTTTTAAATTCTTTCAGGTGGTTTTCCCTTGATGATAATCTTCTCTATACTTTTAGATACAACAATTGAAAACACTAACTGGAAGTCTTCTAGCATGTTACTCTGTTTCCTAAAATGTTTTTTGTAAATGAGGCATTTTCTTCAGTTTTTAAAATATAACTCACTGTCTTTTTTCAAAGTTCTGATTACTTTTCTTTTAAAATGGTCTTACATAAAAAAAAAAGTTTTTCTTTCTGCTCTAACTCTGAAACTGTATTTAAAATTTAACTTAAAATGTCCCACTTTTTAAACTCAACTTTCTTCTATCTTTTGCTCTGCCCCCTTACAAGGTTAATTTCTTTGATTTCTTACCTTTTTCTCTATCACTTCCACTTAGTACTAATTTCCATCACCAGCTACTCTTAACAAGACTCTCAAACTCCTTCTCCTTTTTATTTTAAACCATGTAGTAACTACCTGTGACCAAAAATCTTTCCAGTGCTTTTATACCAAACCTGTGACTTTCTAAATAATGTCGTACTTAGCCTCCACATTCTTACAACTGTTGGTGCTTTCTCTCGTGCATGCTTAAATCCTATGTACTCCAGCATCATTTTTCTTATTTATAACCTTCTTCAGTTCCTTTAATTTGGTTTCTATACCCTCCTTATTTGGTTATACAGCTTTCTGAATCTACTCTTGTTATAATGTCTTTCTCATTATAACTGTAAACTTACTTGTCTGTATTTCCTGTTAACTTGTCAGTTCTGAAAAAAAAAAAAACTGACTTTCTTTTTTCATTGATGTACCCTCAAGGCCTATTTTATTGCCTGACACATAATTGGTTTCCAATAAATATATGTTAAATAAATAAATAATGATTGGATGAGTATAAACATATAGGAAGCTTAAAAAATGTATTTTCATTTGAATTGTTACAAGTCTCAGTTTTTCTCTTTCATTTAGTAAAGTAGGATACTATCGATTTATACATTGTGAATTTCTTTCCAGACATGTGGAAATCATATTTGGAAAGAAAATATTCTCAATAGAGTAAAATAGTGCCCAGTAATGTCTCTTCAAACACCACCCACAGACACACCATGCAGCATCACTTTGTAACTAACTTCCTGCATAAATGTTAAGGAATTATTGACTTATTGTTACAATTCTTCTGGTGAGATCAGTTTTTTTTTTAGAGGCAGGAATAAAATCGATGTATCTATACAATGGTGTGTGGAATAGGTTTTTCTCTAAAAGCATTGCTTCTTAGTTTTTAAGTACAAGTACATCTCATTAAAATATTTTAAGAAATCAAGAAATGTCAGTAAAGGTATAAAGCAAAATGGGACTTCAAAGATTAAGTGGTAGAAGTTTACATCTCTTTAAAAGCTATATCCTTTTAAAGCTAAATCTAAAAATGGTGTATTTCCTGTATCCTTTCAGATAAAAAGAATGACTTGACAATTTTGGAAAGAGTGCTTTTACAGGCAAAGTAATGTGATATTTAATTTAATAATATGCAGAATGTAAAGCTCGTGGGCATATTTGCCTCCCAAGAATGCTTGCAGCTCAAAGGAGTCTCTTAGGGTACGGGTGTAGTAATTGGTAAAGAGAATTGGTAGAGATACAGCTCCGATATCAAAGAATATTTTCCTAGCATGAAAAAGAAGCTAATTGAAAAAAATGTTCTGGATTAAAGCACAGTTTACCCTAAGGTCCCTAGATTTAGAGTGGTAGACAAATTGGAAAGTGATTTTCAACTTGCTATATACTGCAATTTAGCATATAAAATGCATTTAATCATTGAGCTGAGTTTGATCATCTCTCACAAAGAGATACATACTTTAAGTAATATATGTATACTATAAGTACTAACATGCCCACATTTTTTCTGACATTCAGTTGATCTAGTTTTATTGTATAATCATACATGTCTGTGAGTGTTCCTTGCCTAATCTGATTTTGGGCCAAAGAAATATGCCATCAGAACCTCTTCACACGAGGCAGCCGGAAGCAGTAGGAACAACACTAGAATCAAAGTTAAGATATTTATGTCTATATGCCAATTTTGATAATTATTTTATACCCTTATTAAATCATTAGATCTACATTGTATCCTCTAAGACTATATCCTTTCTCGTTAAATCACTTAAACTTAATTAATCCCATTTTCTTCACATGTTACATAAGACTAGAAATACTGCCTGGTTTTATGTAGGAGGTAACATTTATTAGAACTTTTAAGAAGTCATGAAATATTTTAGAAATATTATTATTAGTTAATAGTGTCAATAATTGATTTGACTAAGGGTTTTTTTTTTTTTTTTTAAATTTAGCCTTTATTTGAATTGACTAAATCAGACATCCTCTAGTGTTATATATGCAGCTTAAGTAATTGGTGGGACTAAAATCAGCAAATGATAAAGTATGCTAATTGTGATGACAATTTGTAAATATATCTGCGTTACAAACCTGGAACCTTTGACAATCTGAAGCCCTACAGTCTGAGTCCTAGACTTGTGACTTTCCTGAATCAATGAGACAAATAATTTAAGGGCGTGTACCCTTAGTCTTACAAACTTTTATTTTTTCCCCCAAATAGAAACATTAAAAAGCAACCACTATCTTTATGTCACCATTGTTTTGCAAAATCAAGACAATTTGACAATCTTTCCCCACTCCTTTTCCCAAGTAGGAATATAATCTCAGAATAAAGAAGCAACTGAACAAAATGGAATAGATGACTTGAGAAGGAGAAGAGAAGAAAGGAGACCATTACAGCTCAGAGAAAATAGTTAATTCTAAGTGACATTGTGGCACAGCAAGATTGAGAGTTTCATAGTACAAAGAAAGAGGTATCAGAAAAAAAGTTTCCTACTATTACGGTGATTAAGGGATCCTTTGTAAAATAGGAAACAAAGTGGGTGAGGCATGAATTGATTTCAGCAGCTTATAACCCAGGTCGGAACTGTGATTGGCAGGACAATTTACATTCTAAGTAGATAGGATCCCAGAAATCCAAAGAAGATGTAGGACATTGATTATACTGGTCCTTTCATTGAAGTAGAGAATGTTCTTCACCTCATTTCCTCTAAAATACCTTTTCAAAATAAAATTATATTAAAGAGCTTGTTCTCTGACAGTATACCAAATTTTCTTTTTATTTTATTGTATTTAAAGTATAATTAATAAATAATCTGTCAGAGATAGTCAGATATTTTGTCAATATTTAGAATAGTTTACTGGTGAAGTAGAAAGAGCACTGAAATGGAAATAAGGAAATGTTTTCTATTCTCAATTATTAACTGGTTGACTTTATGTAAGTTATTTGATCTTTCTACAATAGAATTTTCATAATATATGCATATTGTGTTTCAGAATGGAGATTTTCACTAATTTCTTGTTGAATTGATTCAAATCAATAAACTCTGAATGTTGGACTTGGAGATTTTTAAAGTTCTTCCCATCTCTAAAGTTCTATGATAATTAATTTAACCAATACTTGCGGCTTGCTTTCCCTGTACCATATACAACAGTTCTGCTTACATCTTTCACTGTGTAGCCATTGACTGTCCAGTTGGCTTTCATTATCACTCACAGAGATAATTTTTATCAAACATTTGCTATACATTTCTACTGTCTTTAAAAAAATCTTTATCTTGCTACTTACAGACTAATATATGTTTAGGGTTTACCAAGGTGATTCAAATATGAGCCACTTATTTTATGTATTTCAGGACTACTAATACTACTTTTGATTCAGCTTCATTTAGAGTTTGTTCTTTTAAGGCCTTTAAAATCTATCTATCTATCTATCTATCTAAAATAATATATACACGCACATAAATATGTACGTGTGTATAATATTGATATATACATCATGTATGCATATAATGTACAAACACACATTTATTTTCCCCTAAAGTGTGACTTATCCAAGTATCCTCATTTTACAAATGAAGATTTTGGGGGTAAACAAAAGTTAAATAATTTTTCTGAAGTCACATAGCTTTGGTTCTGGTAGTACTAAGACTATAAATTATTTACAGAAATCAATCTGCGTGCTTTTATGAAGTATCATTTTATTTTTAAAGCAAACCCTTTTATGTTGCAAATTTGAATGGTTATAGAAAATAAGAGCCAGTAAAAATACATTAATTTTACTTAATCATAGAAGCATATATTTTATTTTGGGTTATATAAATTAGATTCGAGATAAAACAGCATATCAATTAGCTATTACTGCATAATAAGCCATCTCACAACTTAGTGGCTTAAAATCGCAACCACTTATTTAATTAGGATTCTATGGTTTAGCATTATTGTCTGGGTTGAACTAAGTAGGTCTTTTGTTTTTGACTTACCTCATTCATGCATCTGTGGTCAGCTGCCAGATGGGCTGGAGGCTGGCTCATCTAAAATGACCTCAGCTAGGATGACCTCTGCTTTTTATATTTAAGTAGCTTCTGATGTTTATTCACATGATAGTCACAGGGATTCAAAATTAAAAGGGGAAATATGCAAAATCTCAAGGGCTAGGCTCAAAATTAGATGTTACTTCTACCACATTTTACTAATCAAGTTATAAGGTCAGACAAGATTTAAGGGGCAAAGAAAGAGTGGCAAAGTTGTTTTACAAAGAAGAGTAGATATAGGAAGAGATAAGGAATTACAGTTATTTTTATAATCTAATACAAATTGCATTTTTGTAATATAGGTTTAGTTTCATGGTTTTATTGAGGAAAGCTTAAATCAAAAATTGCAGAATTTTTTTTTTCTGGCACATTCTAGCATATACTTACAAATACCAATTCTAGTATGGATGCAGATCAACTGCAGATGAGAATGAAAAATAAGATAGCCACTTGGGAAAACAGTTTGACAATTTCTTACAAAAAGTTAATTATATACTTATCATATAATCCAGTAATACAGCTGCTGGGTAACCAAATGCAATGAAAACTCAAGTGATATGCCCGCCTTAGCTTCCCAAAGTGCTGGAATCACAGGCATGAGCCACGATGCCCATCCCAAGATGAAGTGTATTTTCTTCTATCTCTGGATTAGAATTTTTAGTATTGGGTGACTACATTATATGCCTTATTTACCTCTGGATTCTTATGACAAATTCTAGACAAATTTATGAAATCCAATGCATATTGAATTGCAAGAGAATGTTAATGAGACACAGTTGTAAGTCATATGTTATGAATTGCTCTTCTAGTAGTTGGTGCAGGGAAATTGCCCAGCTCCAGTGTCTTCTGATCCCTGCTGGGTTCGGTGTGCTTACTGGACCAGCATGAGTCTTGCTGTGATATCTAAACCGTATCCATTTACCAGACTGGACACGTTTCCCTCAGTGCATTTCTTCAGATGTTTATCTAATTGCTAGTTAATAATGGCCATTTTCTGAAGCTAGGAAATCATAGATTCTGCCATGGTGCTAAAGGAGTATTAATACGCAGGTTTTGCTTTGTTTTTGTAATGGTTGTCTTCATTAATAGCACCTCTGTTAGTTTCAAGATGGGAACACCTGTGCTTGTGCCGCATGCGAGACAAACACATAATGTCCTTCATTTCTTCTCTATATCCCTCACTGGCTTTTAAATTTACGGTGTGTCAGAATAGAAGAAGGAAGCCAAAATAAAACAACAAATTAAGAACATTTGTCTGGAACAGAGATTGAGCAAAATTTGAGCCATGAGCCAAATTTGCCCCAGTGTCTGTCTTTGTAAGGTTTCATTGGAAGACTGCCATGCTCATTCATTTGTGTATTGTCTATGACTCTTATTGTACTAATTATAGTAGCTAGGGTTGTATAGTTGTACTAATTATACAGGTGGTTGTGTAGTTGTACTAATTATACAGGTAGGGTTGTATAGTTGTGTCACAGACCATATGGCCCACAAAGGTTAAAATAGTTACTATCTGATTCTTTACTGAAAATACTTATTATGTCTAGTAAATTAATTTGCTAAATAAATCTCTTGAAAAAATATATTTAGCAATAAAAAACTCTTTAATAATTTACTATGCATCATAAAGCCAATTTAGAAAGTCTATTAACTAAATTTTCTTTCTAAATAATAAGTCTTAATAAATGGGATATTCAAAATCAAACCCTCCTTAGTCCTACAACATGGTGTCATTAGGCCATTTACCCAGGAAGTGAGTGGTAAGAACATAAAAAAAAAAAAAAAGAATTCATTGTAAAACAAAAATGCTTGGCCATTGAATTAAACAAAAAAAAGTGAAGATGTTACGCTATGCACATCAAAGAAAC